AATACATGTATGTACACACACTTACATGCACACAATACATTAATAACACAGGAACCCAGGAGCTATTGGGCCTTCCAGACCCCTGCAGTCACTGGAAGCTCCTATTGCTGCAACAGAAAAAGCGGGAAAAGAGAAAGCTTTTCCCTGATGCATTCTTTTTCATCTCCACAAATGCTTTCTTAACAGAACCTAAACAGAACAGAAGGCAGGGGATTCTGGGAAATGTGGTTTCCTGACTTTCAGAAGAAGAAATGTGAATTGTGAACCTCCACAAAGATACCAAGCAGACTCCACTGCCTTGGGATTTGGTCCATCACAAGAATTGTTCTCAAATGGATAGGGTGTCTGTTGTGTCATCCCTCAGACCACACATGACAAAAGCTGAAGAAGCATCACAACATCTATAGATACAAGCCTGTTTACTCAGATGGGTCAAAAAGAAGCCTGGCTCAAGCTAGAATTTTACAAACCAAAGCCAGCTGCTCCTGGAGGAGGTGGCAGGTCATGATGAAGGTCTAGTTGCCTCATAGCAATTGCTCGGGTGCCATTGCCTCCTGCTCCCACTCTGTGTCTCGCTCAGACTCCATCAGATTGCAAGAGAGAGCCTCAAAGCCATGGGAGACCAGGTGTCTTTGGTTGTGTTACCCAGCAAACTCAGGGACAAAGATTTGCCTACAGGAAGTTTACCAAGGGAGCACTCAGCATCAAAAGCCAGAATTGGACTGGCAAAACAAGAAGGGGCAGAAGGACAGATGGAAATGTGGCACTGTCCTGCACTGAGGTGAGGGTGCTAGAACCATGATGGGGTGCTGCACTGCCCAGCATGTCAGTGGTTGGAGGACCACATGTATGTCAGTTGTCCCTTAAGCCTATGCTGGGAACCTTCAGGAAATTCATGGGAGATGCGTATAGGGTAAAGGGTATGATGGGAACCAGCATTGTGGCAAAATGGGTTAAACCATCACCTGCAATGCCAGCATCCCATAAGAAGACCAGTTGGAGTCCCTGCTGCTCCACTTCTGATCCAGCTCCCTGATCATGCACCTACGAAAGCAGCAAAAGATAGTCCAGTGTTTGGGACCCAGCCACCTATCTGACAGAATGGCCACCTATCTGAATGGCACTCCAGGCTCCCGGTTTGGGCCTGGCTCAGTCTCAGCCACTGTAACCATTTGGAGAATGAACCAGCAGATGGAAGATCTGTGTCTCCCTATCTCCAAACTCTGCCTTTCAAGCAGATGAATCTTAAAGAAAGGTGGGAGGCATGAAAACTAGTATAATGGATTTCAGTTTTTACACCAAAATCCACTTCCCTGTGAGCTCTCTGAAGTGATACCACGGCCATCTTAACGTATGTCGTGCACTCTATGCTGTTGGCACAGTGACAGAATTGCCTAACAACACATCTCTCAGGATGCATCCCCATCAGTGAGTGACTGCTGCCTGGGTGTACTCTCACGTCCCCCAGGAAGGGGACATGGCCTTAACCAATGCAGAGCTAATCAAGTCCCAGATGAGACATGTGGACAGCAGGGCACACACCACCCGGGATGGTGAGAGTCCATGGACATCCACTGCCACTTAGGCCACACTTCTCAACCACCTTGGTCATGGCCTCAGCCACGCCCTTCACTCACATCACTGTCCCCTCCCACCTAGATTGCTTCCAGCCCTAACTTCCAAACCAAGTCTGCATTCATTTCACTCCCATCCTTTCTCAACAGTCAGGGTGATCTCAAATCTGAAATCAGATTGTGGGTCTGCCTTGCTTAGCCTCCCGGCCCCTGTGGCTGTTCATTGCAGTTAGAGTTATCTTCTGTGCACAGTTGTGTGGCTTCGCAAGTAAGGCACGATGAAGGTCTTCCCATCCTAACTTTAGTAGCTGGGTTTGACTCCCAGCCCTGGCTCCTGACTCCACCATCCTGCTAATGTGGACCCTGGGAGGCAGTGGTGATAGCTCAGTGGGCTGCTGTCACTCATGTGAGACACCTGGATTGTATTTCTTGGCAAGGGGTAGGCAGGTCTTCAATGCTACTGTCAGAGGTGACCAGGAAGCCTGGTGGGCAGAATTTCTTGAAGAGCATGTGATGAGCAGTAGCCTTGCTCAGACCTCTTCTCCTGCAAGTTGACTTACTGGGGCCGTGGTGCCTGCCTGGTTGGTAATAACCATGACATTATCAGTCACACTCAACAGGTGCCACAATAACTCCTACGGCAGGAAGTCACGTGGTGCAGCTTCCCGAAGGCACACAGCATCACCTGTGACACAGGTGCTCAGTGGGAGGGGTCACTCACCTGTGCATCCAGCAGCATCACCCATCCACGGTCCAGAAGCTCCAGCCTGCTCCAGCTGACAGAAGGCATGGCAGCTCACAGAGCCAGGAGTTCAGTGGGCTATAGGCTGATGCTGCTGAGAGCTGAGGTGTCCTGGGTAAAGTCCCCAGGTTTTCCCCCTTTGCCAGCATGAGCATCAGCAATCTCTTTGGCTGCAGAACTCACTGCATCTCTTCCTTTCAGCTCCCTGCTACTGAAAGTGTTTAAATGGCTCCTGCCGTTTCCTGAGTGCCTGACACGCACCAAGAGCTGTGCTCAGAGCAAGCTTTAGATCTGCTCAGGAACTTTCCTGAAAGGAAACTGAGCCCAGGTTTATGACCTCGAGACACCAGCTTCTTTCTGTTGTGCTACCTGAGAAGTCAATGAGGCACAGAGAGTCACTGTTCGTGAAAATGGTTCTTGTTGGGGCCATGGTATGGGAGCTTAAGCCTCCAACTGTAGCACTGGCATCCCAGGAAGGGCATTAATTCGAGTTCTGGCTGCTCCACTTCCCACCCAGCTCACATAGGACACCTAGGAAAGCTCCAGGCTACTAGGTTTGGACTATCCCACTCTAACTGTTGTGGCCACTTGGGAGAGTGAACCAGCAAACTGGTGGAAGCTCTTTATCTGCCTTTCAAAAGTTGTTGTTGAGCCCAGTGTGGTGGCTCAACTGGCTAATCTTCCCCTGGCAAAGCACTGGGATCCCATATGGGCACTGGCTTGTGTCCCCACTGCTCTACTTCCCATCCAGCTCCCTCTTTGTGGCCTGGGAAGGCAGTTGAGGATAGCCCAAAGCCTTGGGACCCTGCACCCATAAGAGACCCAGAAGTTCTTGGCTCCTGTCTTTGGTTCTGCTTATCTCTGGCTGTTGCAATCATTTGGGGAGTGAACCAGTGGATGGTAGATCTTTCTTTCCCTCTTGTTCTCTCTGTAAATCTGCCTTTCCAATAAAAATAAATTACTCTTAAAATATGTATTGTTGATAAAACAAAACACACCAGGTCTTCCTTCATAAGCGGACCCGTAGTTTTAACAAGTAAAGGTTCTTTCTCACCCCATCCCCTTATTCATTCCACCATAGGGTCCCAGGTCAGCTTTGAACACCATCCATAAACATTTCCATGTACTTCATAAAGATTATACAAAATTTCCACTCATTTTAGATGGAGAAATCGTTTGATTTCTTCAAGGCTTGGTGAGGGATGGAGAATGGCTGCAAGCGCCTCCTTGTGGACAGGGCTGGCATCTTTTCCGCCCAGGCTCAGCGGTCCCTCAGCATCCAAGGAATGCTCCTGGAAGGTGCTGAGTGATTTTCCATCGTCCCTTGAAGTGGAATCACAGCCCCTGTCTCACCTTGCCGGGAGTGTTTTCACACTCCAGGGAATTGCTTACCATCACCTGCATGTGGAAGGCGGTGGGCGTACATTTCAAACTGCGACAACTCACAACTGCCTGAGGATTCCCAAAAGGTGTGGGAGTGCTCCTGGAAGGTGTTCCTGGCTGGGGTGATCCCCCTCTGGGCCTCAGGCTTTGAACTCCCCCCTTGGGGAAGGAAGACACTTCCTGGGGCTTCCTCCCAACAATGAATTGAGAAATGGAGTGTAGTATCTGCTTTTCCCACAGACACAGGAGCATTGCTGTGAGACAAAAGCAGTGCACCTTTAAAGTCGTTTCTTTTCCCAAGTTCATGACAATGGGAAGATAGGAAGGAGCTTCTTCCTACCTCAGAGGCAATAGGCTGTGTTGAAACAGCCCAGGCATGAAAATGCAGCTTGGGCCTGCGTCTCAACAGCCTCGCTTGCCTTGACCTTGTATAACGTTCATGAACATTGTCAGCCTCCATGTTTTGAACTGTACAGTGGCGATCATCGGCTCACCTCTAGGTTGGTGCTAAAAATTTAACGACACAACACGTGTCAGTTCCCTGGCATGGTTGGCAGAATTTTAGGGGCACCATACACTGGCAAGAAAAGAGGCTGCCTCTTTAAATTCCTGGTTTATTCAGCTACACATGAGGCCAGGAGGACAGATGCAGGAGAGGATGCTGCCCGGAGCCCCCAAGGTCCCTAATGAGGGGCGCTCAGCTGCCTGCGACAGAAGTCATGTCTTGCTGGCTCAAGCAGCTTAATTTTGTGCTGCACCACAGCCCAGTTATAATTGGGGTTGACGTCATTTTTCTAGGACTTGCACAAACATTCTCTGTCCTTCGTGAGAAATCACTAACCCCTAGCACCCTTCCAGTTGCCAAGCCCAGACAGCATTGACAAAGCCTCCTGTCTCAATGGATGGGGCATGAGAGTAGGGTCAGGGGCTGGCTCCAAGTGCCTCATCTCCACCTTCCGGTCCCCCAGCATCACCCTGGAAGACCTCATCTCCCCGATAACACGCAGCATGGGAAGTGTTTAATAAATTACTTATGATGCTAATGATGATGCTTATCTCAGCTTCAATTCACATGTGTTACTTCCATTATTGATTCTGTGCTCAAATTGACCAGATAAAAGTCATAGGCAATTTAAAAACAATTAATTTTGATTTCTCATCTGTGACCTAACAGGAGTCTGCTTTCTCTCCAATATTTAATAATCGCATTGTAGTAATGATTCAATTGCAACTGAGATCAGTGGTGTTTGGGCTAATGCAGCCTCTCTCTTTTGTTCTTGTTTGTTTCGTTTTGTTTTTAGGGTCAAGTTGTGTTCCGGAATGGGGAGAGAATGGGGACCATTAAGTTTACTCAATTTCAAGGTAGGCTTTTGCTGCTGCCTCTTTTGATGACATTTGTATTCGGGGATGCTGCATTTCTGCAATAATATATCTCCAAGGAAATGGAAGGATGGTATTCCAGATAAAAGCAGGAGGGGTCAGGGAAAGACACCTGTCTGTGAAAACATTGGCTTCCCCTTCTGTGCAATGAATGTTCTCAATTACATTTCTGCTGCGGCCTGTTTGATTCTCCTGTAAGTCTCTGAGAGGCTTATGAAAGGGCAGGGGGTGGGGGTTAAGTCTCACTCAGCTGTTTCCGTTTGGAGGTGTAGAAATGGTTCAACAGCCTCTCCCACAGAGAGAATAGGAGTAAGCCCGCTCTCAGGCAGCCGCCACCACCGTCAACCTTTTGCCGATTGTGTTGCATTTCTGCTTACCCCGTCTCCCTCCCCTCTTTGGCTGTAGTGTTTTAAAGCAGCTCTTAGACATGATCTCATTTCAATCTATAAATACTTCAGGATGCATTTCCTCTAGATAAGGACTTTTCAGAACGGAGCCACCACAAGACTGTTACCCTACCCACCACATTTAGCTCCCATCCTGCACCACCTTGGATTGCCAGTCCATGCTGATCCTTTCTTTAGAGATGGTTCATTGGACCATCTGTACCAGATCCTCTAGCTGCATCAGCTGCTCAGTCTCCTTACTCCATGAAAACCTTTGCATTGTCACCCTACCCTGTTCCCCCTTAAACACACTCACACTCCACAGACCAGGTGTGTGTGTGTGTTTTTTTTAAAGAGAAATAAATTCGTATGTTGGATTTGGTTGCTGTTTCCCAAGTTGAAAGGGAATTCAGAAGCCACTCAGACTAGGTTCTTTGTGGGATGGACAGGAAATGGAGGCCCGGAGGGGGGTGGTGACCTGAGTCGCCAGGCCCTGGGAGGAGCAGGGCTGCCTGTTCCTGGAGACTGGCATCTTGGTTCAGGCCAGGGCTCTTAGTCAAAGCTGCTGAATGGGTCATTCAACAGCACAGCATTTTTCTCATGATTTGGATGTTTCTGGAGAAATCCAGAAGCATTGAAAGTGCTTTTGGGTTCACCCACTTTGGTCAGATCCTAGAGTCATCCAGAGGCAAGCAAGGGATTAAAGTGAGAAGCTCAGATTCCTGCTGAGAAACCCCACCATGCCTCTGACCCATCCAGAGAGGCCATTTGCAGCACCATCGCTCCTAACGCAGTCCTAACGCAGCTACATTCATCTTCCTGCAGCAGGTCATGGAAACACATGTCAGCTCTCCCCTGTGCACAAAGGATGTCATTTTAGGCAAATGTGCTTATTTTCCCATTTGTTCAGTGGTGCGTCCTCATTGGTTGAACAAAGTAGGCGTCTTGGCAGAGATCCTTACCTTTTGTATGAGTGTGAGTGATTGCAAGTCAATTCTCTTGCCACGTTTCCAGTTCCCAAATCATATCTTTTCAGGAGAGCATTTTTGTGAAATATGGATTGGCCATCACAGCTGCCAGAGCATGCCAATTTTATCAGCTTTTTATTTTTCATGTTCAATTTAGACACCAGCTCTAGGCACACCTGGAGTTAGAAGGAAGGCGCAACAGCCAACAAAGCCTGTGCTGTCTCATCCTGCTAACCAGAGCTCAAATCATTGAGTCACTGTAGAACATCAAGCCAGGCAGTTGGCGTCTCTGAGTCTTGAGGGGCCTCATCTGTAAAACAGGCATATAATCCCACTTGCCATCTTGGAATATTTGAAGAATCAGAAAAGATAACACATACAAATATGTGTTTTTATTTTCTTATTCCATGAAGAAGTCACAATTATATTAGACACTTGGTCAAAATCACAACATATGGGTGGGGTTCTCCTGGCATAGTGATGCTCTGGATTGCCTGTTTGTTTGCCACTGCTGCATTTAAGGATATGTAAGATGTCAGACGGGCAGCCAGGGCTTCCAAAATGATCTCATCTCGCTACATCATGGTGTGAAGGGGGAGACTGAAGCCCAGTGATACACAATTGACTGGTGGAAAGACTGAGACTCGACCTCGGCTTCCCACCACCAAGTGCCAGCATCCATGTGCTCACATGGACTCCCTCACATGCTCTGCTCTCCTGTCCTTGCCCACACATGTGTCATAGCTGGGCCTACAGGTGCACTTGCAGCCGTGTTTGTAAAACAGACATCTGAGAGAAGGGCTCTGTGTTATTAAAGACTGAAATGAGCCCCCGTGCTGCAGAAGCCTTGCATGCTGGCCCCTCCATCAGCCATCCACATGCACAGGAATCCTGAGATGCCTGGGCTACCAGCATGGGAGGGCACTGAACTGCTGAGGACGTGCTGGTACTCATCATCTTGTTTCACTGAGGGGAAACTGAGACATAGGCCGGGAGACAGGGTGGATTAAGGCTGGCCCTGACTCACTCAGAGACCCTGAGTCCATCCTTTCCTTTCTCCAGGATCAGACTTCTGTTTCAAATAAGGACTTTTCCAGACTCTGTCTTCTAGATTCTTCTAGGGGGTTACCCTTGGGGCCAGCCCGCCCATGCCTCTGTAGGGTTCCTGGCTCCTGAATTGGCTCATAACAGTAGCTGTGTTTTCTGCCTTGCATCTCGTGCCCTCTCTGTCCTCTATGCTGGTCTTATCCTCTCTTATTACAGAACACCCGCTCTCCTCTCCTGTTTACAGGGCTGGGGAATGGTTGGTCTCAGGCTGAGCTGACTCACACACGTCAGCTAAGTCCTCCACCTCCCAGGTCCAGGCTGCCTGCCCTGGTTCTGCTGCGAGACCAGCACTAGACTATCTTGGACGGTCTTGGCAGCTGGCTGACCCACTCTCCCTCCAGACACTTTAGCAGATAGTTTCCTGGCTTCTCATTTACACAGAGTTCCTGGAGCCTTGTTAACCTTGTATCTACAATAGAAGTATTTCAGAAGGACTCTCTGCTAACTCCTTTACAAACTAAAACACAAAGTAAGTGGCTGTACCACTTGCCAGTCCAACTGTCTGCTATTGCACCTGGGAGAGCAATGAAAAATGGCCTAAAGGCTTGGGCTGCTGCACCCATGTGAAATACTCAGATGGAGTCCTGGGCTCCTGACTTCTGCCATACCCAGCCCTGGCTGGTAAGGCCATTTGAGGAATGAACCAGCAGACAAAAAAATCTCTCCTGCTCTGCTCTCTCTCTGCTTTCTCTCTCTCTCTCTCTCTCTCTCTCCCTTTCCCTCTCCCTCTCTCTCTCTCTCTCTTTCTCTCTCTCTCTCCCTTTTAAATAAATAAATAAATCTTAAACACTCACACAAAATATGAAATGGAAGGCAAGCTTAGAGGATGACGACCAGGCAGCCAGAGCCCACCCCATGTTGTGATTTGAGGGCTGTGGGATTGGCAGCCATGGTGCTCAACACACAGAAGGCCCCAGGAAAAGTTTAGTGAGTTCATCTGGAGGCCAAAGAACTCATTAAACTCAAGTCTTGGCTCTGAACTTTCCCAACCGTAGGATTCTCAACAAGCCACTAAATTTCGCTAGCCTCTACTTGCTCCTCTGGAAAAAGGGAAGCCACTGTGACACAAAGTGCTGAAATACTGTGATCCCAAAAGCAGCCTGCTAGTAGAGGTTTCCTCAGTAGATTAAAATATGACCTGGCATTGGTGCCCCAAGTGTGAGCTGCCCAGCTTTGTAAATGTTTGGGAGCATGCTCGTTTGCCTTGGTTTCCAAGGACTTGATTCACATTAGAGTGTTGGCAAACAGTACCTACACACCACAGTTCCTCCACACTGGGACCATGGCTGTTCTATAACAGAGTGCCTTTCGTTTTCCTTAAAAACATCAGGGTGTTGGATAAACAGAGCTGCTGTCAAGGACTGCACCAAGGCTAGCCCAAAGTCCCTCTGCATAGACTTTCCCTCTCCAAGGAGGGTTTCAGGGTCCTAAGAATTGTCCTCCTGCCCTTAGCCTGCCCCCATCTACACCACAAGGGTCCCGGAGGGTGGGTTTGGCAGATAGCCCCCCCATCCTCTGTGCCTCTCCCATTCCATGACACATAGAACATCATCCCCCTAGGCACACCTACAACCTTGACCCGTGTGAGGAACGGGCCCTCTGTCCCAGGAGTGAACTCCAGCCCTGGAAGTGTGGGAAGGCAGGTGAACACCACAGCAGCCTCATTGTGTTCCCCCAGAGCCTCCCAGCAGGAGTGAACCTCTGCTGCCCCCTGACACCTGCTTGTTCACACACCTGCTGCTGGCTCTCTCCCACCTGCCTTTCTCACATCCTCACATTCCATCCAGTGTGTCTTAGCATCCCAAATTAACCAAGTGCATTCTTACCCCTCTCCCAGGCAGGCACCTACCCATGGTGGTAGATAAGGCAGGTGTTGGCATCCTTGCTGGACACACACCTTAGACCTGAACCCCTGTCAGTCCCAGGTTCCATGCCCCACACCTGCCCGTGTTTGACTTCCACTAAACCATATAGAGATGGAAATGAATATGAAGAGGATTGGCTCCTTTTTTCTGCGTGTTGCCACTGGAGGCTAAACATGGCTTGGATTCTGCACAGGGAAGGAAGTTGAGTAGAGCCATGATTAGAGCCTTGTTCACAGCGTTCTCAGGAAAGACTGTGCGCATCTGCCTTGCAACTCGCCATCCCTGCCTTCATTAGGCCTATTTGTAAGCATCCCGGGGAATGATCATGGGCTTGAATTTTGCACTGCCTCAATGCAAACATAAAGGGCTCAGACTTTGGGGTTTTATATTCTGGCACCTGATTTGAAGGGACGGGGTCTTCTGTGGCTTTAATGACATAATTGTCGCTCAGAATGTACCTAGTGAAACGCAGGCATTAATTACTGCGCAGTCTTCAGGGGAAAGCTGGGATTCTATTCAGCATGCATTTCCTGAGCATCTGCCAGTCGCTTCCCCAAGCCTTTTGGTGGTAGTTGGGGGGCGGGAGGAGCCATGCTGAATCAGATGCAGTCCCTGCTCCCCAAACCCCGCCCCAGAGCTTCATAATCTCTCTGGTT